GAGTATTTTTACTCTTAAAATAAGGTGATTAGATAATATGTACTTGTAATAAGAATAAATGGCCTTGTTCTATTGGCAGTGTCTCACATTCTTAATTCAAGAAAAAATGCACTTATTTTAAGAACAAAATGACTTATTCAGATTTTTTTTTGATTTTTTTGCAGTGATGTATTTTGCTTCAAACGAGCAGAAGAGAAAAAAAAAATCTAGAAATAGGTAAAAATGTCTTAAATTTTGTGTATTTACCCTTAATTTGAGCAGGTAAATGAAATAGTTTGCCAATGGAATTGAGTATTTTTACACTTAAAATGAGTTAATTAGATAATATGCACTTGAAATAAGACAATGCAATAGTTTTTTCTATTATAAATTAAAATGCCTTGTTTCATTGGCAGTGTCTCACTTACATCCTTAATTCAAGAAAAATGCACTTATTTTAAGAAGAAATTACTGATTCAGATTTAATTTTTTTTGCAGTGATGTTTTTTTTTGCTTCAAATGAGCAGAAGAGAAACAGCTACACTGGAAAAACAATATAGAAATAGGTAAAAAGTCTTAAATTTTGTGTATTTACCCTTAATTTGAGTAGGTAAATGAAATAGTTTGCCAATGGAATGAGTATTTTTACACTTAAAATAAGATAATTAGATAATATGTACTTAAAATAAGACAATGCAATTGTGTTTCCTGATTTTAAGTGTAAATTTTCTTGTTCCATTGGCAAAAAGTGTCTTTTACCTCCTCAATCCAAGAACAAATATAATTTTATCTATATTTAAATTTTTTCCTGTGTTTAGCCTCCTTCTGTTTCCAAATCTTAAAAAAACAAACAAAAGATATGAAATTTGCAGACTGAAACTACAATCCAGTTAAATAAAAACAACCAATCTACAGCGTTCCGGCGTCTCTCCTTGATGCAGCGTTCACATTTCTTTTTTTCTGCTGTTTTCTTTCCGTTCAATAACAAGTCCCCTCTACCCTGGCTGCCCCCCTCACAGCCAGTAGTTACTGAATAACAGACGGTTTATGAGGCAGCAATAATGAGGAAAGGGACGGAAGCGTGGACCAACAATGGGTATTTGTTCTCTGGCCTTCAAAAGTGAGCAGCTTCTGTTTATCTTAAGGATTTCGCAAGAAGGAACAAGTTTTAAAGCCAAAAAAAAAAGCCTGCATTTGCTTTCATCTTCTTTTAACTGGGCACTCATCTGCAAACCACTTATGTCGGGATATTCTTTAGTGTTTAATAGGGATAAACAGACATGCTTTAAGAAAAATAAGCTGAGATCATGAAAAGTCTGTTTATGGTTCATGCTAATTTAATCAGAATTTAGAGCAAATATGTTTACATGCAGGTTAAAATGGTTGCATCCAGCTTCTGGTTTTATCAGCAATTAGGACGAGGAGACCCGCCACCAAAGCAGACCGCCTGTTATCAATCCGTCGGACTTTTTCACCAACGCCAAACGCCTGATAGCAGAGGACTGTGAATGTGCCAGCAGTAATAAATGTCTCTGTCAGAGGTGAGCCATGAATGCAACACAAAAAGCTGTCCATGTTTTTCACTCTTTAATGTCACTGAAACCCACTTTTGTTTAACAAATTTATATAGTTTTTAATTAAGTAAAAAATAAAACTTTCATTGAACAAAAATATGATTATCAAATTGCTTTAGAATTTGTCGCCAGTCTTAATGAATCTGGAAGCAAGATCATCTAAACTTTGTCTTTGCAATGTTTTTTTATTGATGTTAAACGCTTTATCAGGCTTTTTAAAGCTTCAAATATCAGCAATAAACCAAAGAAATTACAGATGGAGGATTACAGATCTTTATTAAAACACAGAGCAGCCTTATCTGAACAGGATTAATACAGAACAGGGTCCTATAACCGCTGTTTAAAGGATCTGTTATCCATAACAGCAAACAAGAGTTTTTACAATATTAGAGCAGAGTTAAAGGTGCATAAAGCATAATGTGATCAGAAAAGGCACCACAGATGATAACGTCTGGGTCGTCGCTCCTGCTGGCCCGTCACCTGAACAGCCTGTTCCAGAAGGAGACGAACGACGAGGAGTTCAAGGCACCGATGAATATGAGCAGCAGAAGGTAGAGACTCATCATGATGGAGAAATGGTGTCTAAGAATCCACGACCTGCTGCGCGAACGCCTGATGGAACGAAGGGAATACAGATCATCAACAACGCTATCTAAATACGCAACTTAATTATAACCAATGCACATTTTAATATTTTACTTCAGATGTGGAACTTTCTTTATATAAAGCACCTTGTAGAAGAATTCATAAAACCTTGAACTTTCTGCATTCAGCCAGGGACACACACCTTTTTCAGGCTGATTCTCCGGTCGTGCCAGAATTTTTTGGGATGTTCTGAGTTTCAGCCTCATGAAAAGGGGCGATTAGCCTCTCACGTTGGAAATTCAGTCGGCTGTGAAAGGTGTTTGTGAGCAAATCGTGGCGTTGAAGCAGAAATACGAGCCGATTTAGCAGAACCTGAGGCGCACTGCTCATGTGCAAACAAGGGAGTTCTTCTTCTTCCAGATTGACCAGCGCCATCTCTTGGCGCTCGGTCCAACGTGCGGTTTTTGGACGTACAGTGTGAGCAGGTAGATCGCATTAGACGAGCAGAGGCAGCAGGAGCAGCTGGTTTACAGAGTCGATGGTTGATGCGCATCAAGGCGCAGCAAAAGGTCCTGCAGCGCGTTTTGAGCAGCTGAAGCAACGCCTCATGAGCTTCTGATCAACTGAGGCGTGCAAAGCGCTTCAGAAGCAGCAGCTGCTGGAGTTGGAAAAATTTAACTTTAGCTGCTGGATGTGCAATATCAACCAATGAGAGAAGCTGATCTGGGAGCTGGCAGGAAGTCAGACACAGCACTGCTGATGCAGAGCGCTATGATCACTCCTCTGAAACAGTTTATTAACGCCTAAATTAACTTCAAATGGGAAAATATGTTCACTTTTATTATTCAGATGCCTGCAATTTGGATTATGTACGCGAAAAACGCTAACATCTACTTCCAGGTGCCGCGAACAGTAGCGGCAAACCGCAAAGAGGCGATTGGGCCTGAGGCTGCTGTTGAATGGGATTCCCAGTGACAGCGCAGCGCCGGTATATGGGGGTCTGAGCGGCTCCCACAGAGAAATAATCTTTGAAGGCAGGATGGTAATCTGGATGAACTGACTGCACAGATTAAGTTTTCAGGAGGACTTTCTCACTTTAACATAGATTCAAACTACTTTTTACCCGCTGATCACAGCAGATATAGCTGCCATTGTTCCAGGCAAAGAAAGGATAGGGTAGCTCCGCCCACCGGGCATCAGACCCACTTTTCCTACAAGCAGCTAGAGCAGCAAAGATGCTTCAGCCGTGCGTCAGAACTAAACTTGTACAAGCATCAAAAAGGAAGCAGCGCGTGCGTTTTTGCTGTTCCTGCTGCTTGCGGTCTGAACGTAGCATAAGGCCTGGTCAGAATCCCAGCACCAAAACTTTCTTTTTTTCTTGTGCTCCTGTAGACTCTTACCTGCTCAGGTGTTTCCCCTGAGAGTAGACAAACAGGTATTTGACTCGTAAAAGCTGATTGTTGGTAACTATGAAGTATTTCTGCGGAACGTCGCCCCCTTCGCTGTTCTTGGCCCTGGAGCGCTGCCGGTCTATGGTATCAGAATCTGAAACGGCCAACCAACAGCAGCCTTTAACACACAAAAGAAGTTGAGCAGCAGCGCTTCGTGTGCTTCCTGTTGCAGAACACACCTTTTTTCTTCACCTGGCATTTAACGTCTGGA